GTTCTTTTTACGAATCATTGTCGAAGCTAGTCAAAAGAAAAAGCGACTGTCATAATCAAAGAATTGTAATCTACTGCGAGTTATAAATCGCTTTATCAAAAAGAAGTTGTTTCGATAGCGCAATACGCAGAAATAACCCTCGTGCGTTTTCTGCAATACCCAATTCTTTTGTCGTTGAATATGAAAGTGAAATTGTTTCGTGGATTAATCTCCTTAATAATTCTCAAGCAGCAATTTGCAAAACATTTTTTTCTAAAATGTTGTCCTATACAAGTGTACTTCTTTGTTCAAGTTACGTCAATTATTTCAGAACCATACGGCTCCCAATTATGTACCAGATTTATTATAACTATCGGTGCCTCGTAAACTTCGTACCTCCATTCCTCCGATTCAAAGAATCGATATCCACCCTGGAAGAAATTCTTGCTTCTTGGAAGTGCAATCGAGGATAGCAGTTTCCTTCACACTTTCCAATATGGTTGGTCCGGGTGAGGGGTGCAAGCTCGCATTATTCATTCTCCGAAGCAATTTGAAGGTATCGATGGAAGAATGTCCCTTAAACTGAACGAAAACACGATGCGTGCCGACATCTGTCTGAGGGCGAAGCAACCCCCGTCAAAGAGGGTTTCGCTGCTCAACCACGAGGTGGCGGAAGCGTGCTCGTTTTCCATCCCCTTCCAGATTTTTTTGTTTCGGCCTGTCAAAAGTAATCCTCGAATTGTCCCCGTCTGCACGGAACGTTCCGACGTTGCTAGATGTCGTCGACCTCGAACCCGACGCGAGATTCGTCGCGTTTCGAGGCCGTCGGCAATTACAGAGCTGGATTAAAGCGGGGCGGCCCCCGTAAATCCAACGGAGCTGTAACTCGTCGCCTGGCGGCAGCCATAAAAAGAAATCGGCCGTACGGGGTTGAGTTACGAGGACATCGACGCCCGGACGCTATACGGGACGGCCATAAATATTTATCCGACGCCGGTCAGAAACGACGGGGCCGCAGGACCGATAAAAATGATTACGTTGCGGTAAAAACCACCCCCTCCTCCCCCTCCCGCTGGTCCGTTGATCCCGTAAACGGATTCTCCCGTAAATCGAACATTGATTCCTTTTATGTATAAACGCCTTGTTGTTCCAGTTACTCCGGTGATACGCAGTGGATTACGGGGGAAATTTAACCGACAGTCAACGACGGCAATGCGCGTTGCCATTTCAATAAGAAGAATATAAACTCTAGTTTTATGGGGTAGAAGCGTCGTCGTTGCATTTAGATACCGTGCAACTATTGCATCGAACGTTAGAAAAATCCGTACACTACCGGCTCGGAACAGGAAGTTTCCAGTGTCGTGAGAACATCCAAGAAATTCAGAGGGATATTCTTTCAAAATATCTCGTACACAGGAGTAAATATGATCGGTGAATATGATCGAACAAAGCCTAATTCTCCGATATTACGTTTTATTTGCCTCTAGGAGGGAATTCAACAGCAATGCACACTGTTACCGTCATTCAATAAGACAAATATAAATTCTAATTTTACGATCTCCACTGTCGTCGCTGCTATTGCATCGAACATTGCAACAATCGTGTACCTGGGCTCGAGAAAATCCTGCGTGCCTCGAAAATATTCTTGTTTCACAGGAAATCAATAAGTACGATCGAGCGGAGCCTAATTCTCCGGTATATCGCATTTGTCGTTTGCTACCAGAAATGTTGAACGCTGTCGTCGCAAATATCGCGATATTACTCGTTCACTGGCCAACATATAGTACGTCCCGTGTAGCCAGTACTGGCTGGACGATAACGTTGTAGCGCGAAGTGCACCACATGATATCTTTTTGCTCGACGCGCCATCGACCACGTTGCTCCTTTTATTAGGATATAGATTCGCGTCAATTGATTTATAGCGACCGGCTCGATTTCCTGGCGCGCACGTCCGCCGACCAAGATGAACATATCCCGAGGCGCGATCCGTTATACGTCAATTTCACGCACAGCCCAACGACTCACTTTTTTTAATTTTTATGGAAATTTCCTAACCACGATTTCGTTCCGTGAGTGAAACTCGCTCTACCTGATCAGCCGTTCATTTCTTTTCGTTTCTTTTCATTCCCTACGATTCTTCGCAAGTGCATTGAAGTTTAAGAGCAGGGTCGTTTAAAGCAGACCATGCCTTAATAGTAGTAATTTAATTCACGAAGATCCATTCGCACGATCGATGAGGAATTATCAATCGTAAATAAAAGAGTGGCGAGGTCGTGCGCAGGCCTTCATGGTTTAACATGGCTATCTGGAGGCAAACGCGACGGAAAATAGGTCGATACGATCTTGCGGAAGTGGCCATACGGTGCATTTATTATTGCACGAGTGGCTTTCGTACGATCGCATCGACCTATTTTCCCGTCACGTTTTTACTATACCGTGAGATCTGATCCCCGATGGAAATACGCCCTACGCGCCGCGGTCCGCGGAATCAATGGATCCTTTTGCGGAAGTAACGTGCACTAACGCAGCGATAATTTCGGCATTCGCATTGTTCATGCTCTCTGCGCTCTTCCGCTCGTTTGCTCAACAATGATGGTGATGTATGCGTGTTGAGAAGCGAAGTTGGCCGAAAGAGTCTCGCTCCAGGGTGGGACGTTCGAGTTCTTTTTCCGGCTCGTTCGCGAGGACTTTTTCGCAACGTGGTAACCTGCACGGCCGGTGCTTACCGCCGGGCAAAAAACAACGAAATTCTGAAATTTCGTTCAATTGGACGACGGTGCATTGAACACACCGCGAACAGGAATGTAACAAAAATGCTACGACTTTTCTATTACGCGGGCTGACTTCCGGTTAACAATGGATTTGTATAATTGGATTTGCTGAGTCCTGCGTGTTAATTATTCCCAACGGTTGAACAAATGGGATATAAAAGTAATAAATTCAACCCATGTAACGCGAGATTTATTCCATTCTCGCATCCATTATAATTTTGCGGGAAAGACGCATCACAATGGTATTACAAGTCCTTCTCTCGAACTTGTCATTCTTCAACTATTGAATTCGTGCAACAGACAATGACGAAGTGAACGGCAAACAGTCACGAGGGAAAACTCTCGTACAGGTAACATGGTAGGAAAACCCCCGAAGAGATTCAATTTGTGGCCTCGGAAAATGCCTCGCTGACAATCCATAAACGTGTTAACAGCTCCTCAGCTTGTTACTAATCATCCTCATTCGCTTGCCTCCCCCTTCCGTTTCTTGCTATATTTTTCTTTGCTGTACGAGTTACTTGCCGAAGAAGATATATGGGGTTATATTAACATAACAAATTCGCCCGGCACAGTGATCCATTTGGTCGATTTCGCTGGCCAGAATCAAAGACACCTTCGTGTCGATTTTCTTTTAATACGATAATATGTAACACAATAATATATGACATAAATTATACATAAAATTATATATAAACTTATAGAATAAATTATCTGAAGGTTCAGCGTTTAATCTTTATCGGTTCTATAAATAAAAATAAGATTAAAGTATTCCGTAGTAAAAAGTTAATGTTTCGTTAAAAAATTGGAACAAGAGTATGAAATGACAAATAAAATCAACTCGAGTGATGGATTGGTCGAGAAGGACCAATTTCCTAGCCTCCTGAGTCACCCACAACTTATATCTTGATTACTGTCGGAACTTCAAACAAAGAGAAGTGATATTCACTCGTAATCACGGGTAACAATATCCTAAACGTTCGGATCAGTTCAAAATCATTCACGAAACGTTACAGTAAAGTAAAAAAACATCATTGACAAATCAGTCGTGTTGAAATTATTGAGAATATAGAACATCCTTATCTGAAAAATTTTCGCAACAAAACGAAGCGTATACAACTTGTTCAAAACATGTGAAAAATTGCATCGCATGTAAGAGTTTGAAAAAACTTTCGACAGAGCACAGTACTTAATAAGTATATCAATGATAAAAAAAAAATATTGATACATTGTTTCTATTCAACTGTCGTAAAAAATTGTGAAATTTCCGAAACTGTCTTCGGCCAATTGGATTAGCCAAATGGATCATCGTGGCGAAATATTTAACGGATGGATTATATCGATATCTGCCAGCGGGGTTAGTGGCTAAAACACCGGTTCTTCTTCGCATGCCTCGTAAACGAACCGGACAGAGATTGGACACGCGCGCAACCACCGCCGTTATTTCTTCTCCCCGTAGGGGAAAAAAGGTGAAAGACGCGGAAGTTTCTTTTATCTTTCGACGGAAATTACGGAAGCAGCGATTTCTGCCCGCTTTCGAAAGAACATTTGTCTCTGGAGAAGGAGGACGAGGTTCAGAGCGGATACTGAGTAGAAGTTGCTGTTGATGCGGGTGTACAGAGGAACTTACGTTCGTTGCTTACCGTTCTGCTATAATTATTCGCCGAACGATAAAGTGAATACGGGGCGTAAGGAAAGTATATTTACTTTCAAAGACAATTAATCTTCGATGGCGCGTATGATTTAATTCTCGGTCGGATCGCAGCGGTATTCAAATGTCAGCGGCAAGTTGGTCGCTCGACGGAAACTGAAATCGTGTAAAACAGATTCCCTAATAAATCTCGACGGCTCGTAAAGGTGGTTTGTGTGGAGGGCGGTCGAGCCAGTGTTCGTTCTGGTCTAATTTGTGGATCGTTCGCTAAAAGGAAACTACGTCGTCTACAGGATGGGGGAGAAGAATTTATAGATACCCTAATACCGAAAACTCACAGTGAATAGTTCAGGTACAGGCCTGACCAGCAGTGGCGGTGGGAGTGATAAATTTTGGAACTAGCCCGACGCACGCGTGTACCGCACTGTCCACGGGCACGAACTCCACTGATAATTTTTCAAGTGACGTAAATCAGAAAAATTGTCGCACGACAGAAAAAAATGCAATCGGTAGGAACGCGTCCAAGTAACAGTCGTAATTTACACGATAATGCCATTGCTGATAAATGACGAAGATGTTCTATCGTAGAACTAGATAAATTACATTAGAGAGAAGATCTTGTTTGTTTATTCCATTGGATTATATTTCCTAGCGGCCAGATACCTGGTCCATTTGGATCAAGTAAGAATGTTATTCATAATCAACTTTTCGGTTAAATATTTTCGTTCTTCTGTTAGAGGATTCTAGTTTTACAATACATTGTGTAGAATCAACTGTTCAATTTTTGTTCTTTTATCACTGAGACTCATTAGATTTCTATTATTATGCAATCGTTAAAGATAAATACAATTATAGAATATTCATTGGTTTCCATTCGTTATGATTCATCATTCGTTTCATGAGTTGTACAAATACTGCAAATATATCTAAAACATTCGCCTTCGTTTTATTGCTCTGAAGGGATGGAAAATTAGAGAATGACATAACATAGTGCGACTGTTTATACTAATGAGTTCAAATGGATCTACCAGTATTCGTCGGATGAAAGTTGAAACTCGAGAAAAGTTATTACCAAGTCCTCACGAGAATTATTTCATGGCCAGATCTTCACCGACGAAGAATTTTCTGAATTATTTCATTGATACTTTTCGAATATATAAAACGCTGGTAAAAAAAATAATCAATCTACTTTTTATTTGTAATATGAATTTATGGTACGACCCGCCTCGTTAATCCGTATATAGTTTACGAATAAAAATTTATTTCAACATTAATCCGTCATTCGTGTACGGCATTAGCTTTATGGAATATCGATGGATCAATTAACGTCGTGTCTTGTATTTTCCGCTTACGAACGATATCGTTTTACCTGTTAATTACGTCGTAATTAACAGGCCAATGTATTATTATACATTCAGCTCGAAAATATTTCCAAATGGATTTTGCATTACGACGTCGCTTGATTTATTTCACGCCTTTATGAAACATTATGAAATAAGTGCGGTAACTAGAGGAGCGCGGTAAATGTTCATCTTCCACGGCTGACATTAATACCTTGCATCTTTTGTCTTCAGGTCAAAAGACTCTGCGGAAGTATCCCGTGATGGTGTTCATTCATGGGGAGAGCTTTGAATGGAACAGTGGCAACCTTTACGACGGCACTATATTGGCATCTTATGGTAACGTCGTCTTTGTCACTATCAACTTTCGTCTGGGCATTCTCGGTAAGTAGATTTAAATTTAACGCTCAAATCGATCTGCATAATTCATAAAAAATACAGGGTGTGCAAGGAATGAATTGAAAGGAAAGAATAAAATTTCTTTCAGTAAAGCTCTCGTTTTCGTGAAAATCGAGTTTGAAAATTTGTCGAGTGTGCTTGAATTTGGCCAATTTCAATAATCAACACGAGGACGTTCCACGTGCAAAAATAAGTAAAAGATAGAGAACAACATTTGCCCGAGACATTATTTTTCAGAAAATAAACTTTCAATATGCTTCGTTAAAAATTGAAGAATAAAAGTACACGTATATTTAATTAATTTTCAAATTATACTTCACATTTTTCACGTACAACAATCTTGTACTAATTATTCATTTTTGCTCAGTTCAGAAATTAATTCAAGTAAATCAAATATTCAAAGTCGATTTTATCGAAGACGAAGCTTCCCGTGCAACTGTCTATCGATCTGTCATCGGACAAAAATAACTTGTTCTTCCTTTTCGATTCATTTTTACATACAGCCTTTCATTGACAAAATGTCAGATCCTCCGTAATTTACGTTAAACGAACCACATTTCTCTGACACGACCTTCCAGTAATACGATTACAGTACTTGACTCGCTGCAAGTAGTACAAGTCAAGCATTCGCCGAACGCTGTGTTTGCACGATAGTTTTGCCTGAAAGTCAGACGAGATCAAAAGATAGCGGATGGAAACAAAAGGCGTGGAGCACGTCGAATCGAAATGAAGATCGTTCTGGATCTGGAACTTCGTCTCAAAGAACTACGAAAGAACAAGTCCCACGCCATCGATACGAATTTATGAAATCTTGTCGAACGCCAGCGGCAGCGTTGCATGAAATCAGGAATTCTGCTTCATTAACGTTCGCGCTTCGCTGCGCCATCGGCTTTTTGATCTTCGACCAACTCCTTTTTATTTCTATCTTCTTCCCACTGTCTATCGATCCGTCATCACATGCTGGGACAACCGCCATCGTCTACCAGTATCTTTCGCAGTCCGTTCGTACAAATAACACGAGGTCGAGTGCCTATGCCTCTTAAGAAGCCCGAGTTCTCCGAAACTTTCTTCTGAATTTTTATAGACCTTCCCTCCTGTTGAATTAATTTCCCGAGTGGATTCGCAACTT